GTGACAGGTACTATAAAATTAACACGTAAAACTATGTAAATGATGTCTTACAAGTATATAACGAATGTCTATATACTAGTGTAATATACTTCCTACGCCATTTGAATACTCGCATCTCTATTATTAATAACGTGTCATTGAGGTGGGGGAGTATATATACATTGAGTATATATGTACTAGGGTTTATTTATTAAGACAAACCAACAGCATGCGTATAAAGTATTACCATTACAAAATTCACACAAAACATTTTGGATATGTATGCATCAGACTTATTAACTTACAATATTTATATTCACGGGAGCTAAGTTTACTACTGTACTAGCTTTTGCCCGCAACTCTGTATGCTTGGACTTAAAAAAACCTACTAAGTAGCCGATGTCTGTCTTCCCGACTATGATCTACCTCTATGCTAAATACCAGCAAGAGCAAGCCGTTCTGGACTTTCTAACAAACATGCATCCATCTAAACATTCGTACTTATAATACTAGTAATATTGAATACTGCCTGAGACTGGTAACAAAAACGAATTACATATATGGCAACTAACGAAATGATGAAATGATAAATAGGCCCGTGATATCCTAACAATCAGGTAGAAATAAAATCAGTAGTCGACATTGACCGCAGCCCCGTCGACCGTAGCTGCTCCATATGTAATCGGAAACTTCAATTCGCCTGAGGACGATTGTTGCGTATCGTTTACTTAGTGCAAAATAATATAGACACATCTCAACGCAGCTAAAGCTGTTTTACTTTGTGTTTCAACTGTAGCAACACTTGTTGTAATACATATTGTGGTCACTGTTTAATCAAAAAGAATGAAAGGCAATTTTAATACCTATATTGCGGTATCAGTTACGCTTAAATGATTAATCGTGAGTTTCTGAGATCTAAATCTCTGTACACATATGTAATTTTAGTCCCTGAAACCCACTGTAAGCTTATAAAATTAGGGTTTAAGCAACGAAACATGAAAGAGTTAGTTCAAATAACTCATTTGATTAAATTAATAATTACTGACAACAAGTTAAGTTGGCTTAAAGCCACGTAGAGTAGAGAGTTAAATGTTTTTTTAATTTATGTTTCTATCTTAATTAATATAATCGATCTCTAATAACCATTAAAACGCCTTTAATCTATAATACGATGCAAATTAATGACCTGATTTATTCACTAATTAGTCGTTAATTAACAACATTGTTGGTTCATTGCCAACAGTTGGTGAGTCCTTATCGGACTAATAGATTTTTGACCACACCCTTATAAGATTAAAAACTCGTAGGGCGATAGTATCGTGTTGCGCTAATGCAATTTTTACTGATCAACTCTTTTTTAAACACTGAATTAGTTGTATTACCTAACACCCAAAAGTTTAAAAGGGCTTATGCATGTGAAGTCTCTTATGTGAGTTTCTGAACCCAGGATCTCCATTTAAAATATATTGTTGTCTTTGTTTTGTTAAAGATAATATCAGGGATGAAGATATCTTATTAATATTATAAACAGGAATGATTAGATGGATGTTTGTTTGAAGGTATCTTCGGAATGGCTGCATGGATCTCGCCGAAATTTGACATAGGTGTAAAGAATACTCTGGAAGAACTCAAAGCCTACTTATTAAGTTTGTTTTTAATTCCGCGCGGTCGGAGTCGCGGGCTACAGCTAGTGTGAAATATAGCGATTTTGGTCTCGGAAATCAACGGTAAATGACTTAACTGATATTCGAAGTATAATAACATTTATGTTATTGTAAAAATTTACGAAGTGTTTGCGATACTGAATCAAATGAAATACAAGATAAAGGCCTAATAAAGAAATTGTCACGGTCCATGTTAGATTTATAGGTTTCTATTCCTTTTATAGGTTTATAGGCATTTTAGTGTTGGCATAAATACATAAGCAATTAGTTGATGCACGCCCTCTAAGGTGCAGTTCCTCTGAACTACTGATGAACCTCCGTAAATACAGAGAAAATGTACCTTAAATATTTGACTATTATATAATATAAATTATTATTATTATATTCAGTACACAGGATGTATATTTGATTAACGAGATGTTATCGAGTTTCTTGTTAGAGCAAATTGTCTATTCAAAATGTTTGTTTGATACAGAATTCTTGGAATATACCAATTTATCAGAATACGCGATTAAAGTTTCCTTTTACGATGTTCAATTTGGACTTTGGAAATATTTTAGCTCGTTTTAATAACAAGAAAAGTAGTAATATTATATATATAGGAAAATATACTATTTAGTAAAGCTTGTTAAGTAAACTAGGTAAATTAATACTTTTTTTTCCAAAAAAAAAATCTATATTTAGAAATGTAGATTAGTATCTATTAC